CCGTGCAAAACTGGAACACCAAGGTATTTGCCTAGGTCAGACACCTCCGAAAACCCCATGGACCTAGTTAGGTCCTGTTTAACCTCCGATGGTGTATTTTTTTAGAAGAAAACGGTTGTTTTGTCATGACTTACCCGGAGGCCCGACATGGCGCAAAAGTCTTCTAACACCGAAGTCACCAAGAGGGCCTGATCATTGGAAGCTTCCAGAAATAATAAGAGGTCATCCGCAAACATGAGGAGAGGAACACGGACCTCGCCTTTACCAACCATGATAGGTTTCCAAACTCCGGCCTCGACGTGGCTGTGAATGAGGTGGGCCAGTCTTTCAATGCACAGTACAAATAGATATGGCGAGATAGGATCGCCTTGTCGTACCCCGCGATTGGGGTAAAAATCCTCGGACAACGTGCCATTAAAGCTGAGCTGCATGGCCGAAGATTGGACACAAGCCATTACACTACACACAAAATGGCAAGGAAAGCCTGCTGCCCGGAGAGTTTCATCCACAAAATCCCAACGTAAATAATCGTACGCCTTTTCCAGGTCAACTTTGATCACCATGTAACCTTTGCGGCCCGTCCGTTTGCGCATGGAGTGAATCAATTCTTGGGCCACAATGATGTTATCAGTAATTTGCCTGCCGGGCACGAAACTGGACTGAGCCGGGCCGACAAGAGACGGGAGAATTGGTTTCATGCGATTGACCAGAATCTTCGTTATCAATTTGTAAGCTACATTGAGGAGACTGATGGGGCGAAATTTCTGAATGGACCCAGGGTTTGCTACCTTCGGGATAAGTACTAGAATAGTGTTATTTAATTCCGAAGGCAAAGTACCCCCATGAAGAAAGGACCTGACCATGTCGCGCACAGCTGGGCCGACTATTTCCCACTTACGTTGGAAGAACATCGCGTGAAGTCCATCAGGGCCCGGCGCCTTCAGCGGCTTCATGTTGTCGAGGGCAAGAAAGATTTCGGAGTCGCTGACTTCGGAGTCAAGTGGAGTAAAGTAACTGTCGGCAAGTCGAGGAAAAAGGTTAGTCATCCCCGGCCCTGCCATAAGCGGTCCATCACGCACATAGATACTACGAAAGTAGTCAAGAGCCATGCGCTGGATTGTGTCAGGATCATCAACGAGGGTGCCGGCCGCATCATGTAAACAGGTGATGCGGTTATGATAGCGTCGGTTTTTAACCGCTTTGTGGTAGAAAGCCGTGTTTCGATCCCCAAATAGGGTCCAATCCCGTTGAGACTTTTGCAAAAGAAGAAGTTCCTCCTGAAGGGTGACCTCGTCGAGCTCCTTGCGAAATGCCTCATCCATAGCCCGGAGGCGGGGAGTGGTGTATTTCTGGAGCTCGCGTTGAACGCCAGCGAGCCGACGGAGAACCCGATTTTTACGAACAAATATATTGCCTTAAACATGGGCGTTCAAGTGACTCGCCTTCTCGCTGAAATTCTTACTCGCGGTGGCGTAGTCCGTGCCATTCCAAGCGTCCCGCACGACATCTGTGAACCCGTCGTGGAGGAGCCATGCGGCGAGAAATTTGAAGGGCTTTGGTGCGCGAGTGAAACCTCGGTGGAGAGGGACTCGCACTAATAGAGGGAAATGGTCAGAGTTGAGGCGCGGTAGGTGCTGGACGGAGCTCCCGCTATGGGCATTAATCCATGCCGAGTTGGCCACAAAGCGATCAAGTTTTTGTTTCAAGTTCCCCCTCTCCCACGTGTATAACACGTCATCCGTCCGTAAGTCCTCCATGCTGTTGTTAAAAAACCACGAAGAGAACTCGTGGCTGACAGGGTTGCGGGGCGGAGCACCCCCCGACCGCTCACTAGACCGAAGAATGCAGTTGAAGTCTCCCCCTATAAGCCATGGTTCTTGAGTGTCCGAGGCTAAGAGCGCAAGTTCATGCCACATGTGACGTAATCGAGCGTTAGGACTCGCATAAATGAAGGTGACCAGGAATGATGTACCATCTTTACCAATTCTGGTGTGGATGAATTGGCGATGGCATTTAAGGATGGATAGCGTCACCCTCTCACGCCACAAAATCCAAATTCCGCCAGAAAAACCTAGGGCCTCTACCCGAAACGACCGGTCAAAACCACTTTTCTTAATGAACCCGTCAGCTTTGGGGCCACTAATGCGGGGCTCCAACATGACAAATACATCTGGAGTAAAATGGGCAGTAATAGTAGAGAATCTCCGGAAGAATGCCGCCGAAGCCGCTCCTTGTACATTCCAGGAAATAATATTCATTGGGAAACTACGCAAAGGAGGAGGATGACACCCTTCAGAGCGAACTTGGAACCTGAGAGGCTAGAGCAGCCTCGTCAATCATGGGAACATCATCCTCCACAGGTGGGTCAGTCAGTATGGCGGTGGTCCGGGAGGGGCCCGGTTCATCTACGCCCGCGCCGGGATCAAGGAGGTCTGACGTAGCACCCGCTGGGAGTGGATGGGGGGTGTCCACAACCTGGACTGCCTGGTGTTTGGCCGGGTCTAAGTCCGAAGTTAAAGGAACCTCGACCACCTGAGATGATGTGGCAGGCGGAGTCCGAGAGGGCGCGTGTTGGCGTTGTCGCCGGAGATGGTCGTCTTTGGGGGGGGATGGTTCCGCTGTTGCCCGGACAACAGTCTGACTCGCCATGGTTTCGGGGGGTACAACCGTCCCATCACGACGTCCTTTGCCCTTGTTACCGTTCCTGTTTCGTACTACCTGCCATTCTCCCGCGCCCGATAAATCACCGCCTTTCGTGGCCTGGAAGCTAGTTGCTGGCGCCTGGAAAACATCCTTGTTTTGGCCAAGCCCTTGGAAGGTTTGTCCAGTCGTGGGGCCTCCATGAGGAGGGTCAAGCTCAACACCATCATCGTTCGCCAACGACGCAAACCGCGATCCTGAGGCTGCTATATTAGGCCGCTTCTGAGTAAGGGCATTAGTCACCGTCTTCTTGCTCCAAGGTTGTTGCCGAGGCCCTGTTTTGGCCCTCATCCACGGCCCAAATGAGGGCTCATCCTCCCGAGCTTCTTTGTCGGGGTGGTTTGTCCTGATGCCCGTGGTCATCGGAGTTGGGGGGTCCACACCAGCGGCGACCGAAGGTTCTCCCTTCTTTGTGTGTATCGGCCTGTCCGGGCAAGCCGTGATCAAGTGACCACACCAACCACAAGAGTAGCAGATATCCGGAAGCATCTCATACTCGATTCTCTGGGTCTTCCCGCGAATAGTGAAGTGAGTGCGTAGGGGTTGGGATAGGTCCAGTTGAACCGCCAGGCGGGCAAATTTCCCTCGGGTCTGAGATGCGGTCTGGTGATCAATCTTAAGTACCTTCCCCACAATTAACCTGATAGTGCGAAAGATTTTCGTGTGATAAAGGTGCACCGGCAAACCCGGCAATCGGATCCAAGCGACCGTGGAAGTAATCTGATTGGTGGATTCATCAAACTCATCAGACCACTGTTGTACATGAAGGTAGTGTTTGTTGATCACCCACGGACCCCCACAAGGGCTGCGATTACGTCATCGTGTGAGCGAAGTTGAAGCATGAAATAGCCATTCTCAGCATCAAGGATCGGGCAGCCACGCACAAAAGGCCATATCTCCGAGAGCTTACGGTACAATGTATCCATACGCATGCGCAATCCCAAGAGCTTAACCACAAGGACATTGTTGAATGACTTAACTCGACTCTCGTAAAAGGAGTCCTTGATTCGGATATCTGGAACAGGAGGGGAGAAATCAACCACCACGTCATCATCTTGGCCATCGGCATCGTCATCCTCATTTAAGATCACATGGGGGCGATGCTTAGTGAGGGTTTCCTTGAAATTCAACGGCAAGGGCTGAGGGGGTGGCGGCGGAGGGGGTGAATTCCCTTCGGTGGGAGCGGTATTTTCCGTCAATGACAGGCAGTCTCGCGGAGGCTCGGAGCGGCGCTTCTTCGAATTGCAAGGACCGGAAGCCCCGATCGGGTTAGCAGTGCGTAGGGTCGGGAATGGGTCGGGCGGGTCAACCCTAGGGTCAACCAAAGTCTCCATCGTTGTGGCGGCCGTCGTCGAGGCGGCGGCGGCAAGACCTAGCATTTTCCCTTAATCAGTGCTTCGAAAACTCTAATTTATTATTCAAACTTTGAATTCTTTTAATCTAGCGTCCACATACTTTAATCTTTCTTATATAAGCTTTCAACAATTCTAAAAATAGAATGTCAAAAGTTTCTAAAAAGGTTTATTCCAACAACCTTTTTATATATATAGATAGATGTCATTATATAGATAGATGTCATTATACACAGTGAATGATAAAAATATATACCATTATATATTATATTATATATATAAAATAAATTTACAAAAAATTATATATTAGTTTAATCGATTCGACGGATTAGACCACTTGTCCGATCAGTGAACCATTAAACTAATAGTTTAACCAGTTCGAAGACCGATTTAGTTTGAGAACCTTGCTAAATACCACGATAGTTCACTTCTCTTCAATATCACCCCCTTCCGCAGGATTGAACCATCACGCAGACGCCGGATATGTCTGGACACATCCCGAGCCAACATAAGCCTGCGGGCCGAACTTTTGTGTCCAAATGCAGGATAACCTTGTAATCCTGTGTCATCCTCTGAACCAAACGAAGCCATAGGGATCCGATTAGATCTGACGGTTGAAAACCATTATCGAATGCTCAAGAATGTGTGTAGCACCGATCCTGTGTCCCACCCAGATGAATCAACCTCCGAGTCCGATATTTAACAGTTAGATATCTGCAATAGCAGCCGAATGGCGAACTATATAATTTAATAATTCATTATCGATCGATCTCATCAGAAGGAAGAAACAAGGACCCATTTTTGTTGGAAAACGATCTCACAAGAATCTTGCATAACTGTTTCTTTTTCAATCTTTTTCCAATCGCAATTGTCATGAATATCAGGTTCGTCGTCAATCTCGGCCGTTATTGACTTGGAGGAGTTGGTTGAATCCTTCTTGTCGACCCCATGGATGATTTCAAGGTATGCTTCATGAGACTCTATACAGTATTGCTAGGTCATAAGTTTTTTCGTTCTTCGAATGGGATCTATGCATGTTTAAAATGCTGCAATTCATGGATATTATTACATTTCTTCAATAGGTTGTGTAGCTTACTCATATTTTCTCATATAATGCCTTCTTTCCATTGAGTTGATATATGTCTCTACCTTGGTATCTATTCTTGAAGTTACTTTGGTTCTGTTAATTAATTTGTTTCAATTCTGCATTTTCAGAAGCAGCAGGTAAAAGATTCGCATGAAGTTCACACATCTTATTTTTCTACAAACTGTGCTGTAGCGTCATGGAACACACAAGGGGAGAGTCATATCTCGAGTGAGAATGGAAATCTTTCCAATTCTTGCAACGATCAGCTGGTTGAGCCAGCCATGAAAATGGTTCAAGATGGAAGTAATGTGGCTCCTACCGTCTCTTCATCAACTTCGGTATCCGCAACTGTTGGACAAGGCTATAGTGGTTACGCCACTTATCCAAATACGGATCCTTACGGATATAGCAGTACAGGTTATGCAGCTTACTACAGTCCATATCAACAGCAGCCCGGCCAGTATCAACAGCAGCCCAGCCTATATCAACTGCAAGCTGGTCAGTATCCACAACAACCCCCACAGTATCAGGAGCAACCCACTCAGTATTCACAGCAACCTAATCAGTCTTACCCCCACCACGTAGGAGCATATCAAAACACAGGTGCTCCTTATCAGCCTCTTTCCTCATTTCAAAATACAGGGTCTTATGCTGGACCTGCAAGTTACCCAAGCACTTATTACAATCCTGGTGATTATCAGACGTCTGGAAGTTATACGAGTAGCAGCTATGGTACCCAGACCAATTCGTGGGATGGAGGGCAATATGCGACATATGGTTCTCAACAGTATCAAAATTACACTCAGGATTCCAATTCTGCCTATAGTTCGACCTCTGCTGTCGCGAGTTCCCAGTATCAGCAACATTATAACAAGCAGTGGGAGGATTACTATAATCAATCTCAAGCTGAAGTTAGCTGTGCTCCGGGGACTGAGAAACTATCTGTCCCTGCTGTGTCTAGTGTGAGTACTTCTGTTCCTAGTGGATGTCTTCCACAAACAACAATCAATCAGATGCCTAAAGCTTGTACAGTTTTATGGAATCATGAGTCTAGCTCATCTGAAATGACTTCTGTTCAGGTTTGATCATCTTAGTTTCCAATAGCTATCTTTCATTTTGTGAAGGGCCCTATTGTTGTGTTACAAGATTTATCTGGCTTTTTTCTTGCAATGAGATGGGCACTAACTAGAAACCAAAATGCATTTGCATGATATCTAAAGATAATTTTATGATGGATTTGTAGTACAAGAGTAGCAGAACAGTGAGAATACCATTAAGTTTGCTCAAATGTCACCTATTGAAGAGGAATCACTGGAGAACTTATGTTGTTTGGGCTCACTAAATGGTCCCAGATGTCTGCAGGGAAAATTGATAAGGACTGGTATTAATTAGAGCACTACATAGAGAAATTAGCCTAGTTACGTGCTTACGTGGTAAATATTATATAAAGACTTGTTACAGTAATGTTGTACGGTACCTGAGGACGTGCCAAATTCTTCGAGGACCCTGACAATGATACTCGACAATATCTACAAACATCTAGCTTACAGACTTAATCATGTTCAATTACAGTTCTTAAATATGGTTAAATTCTGCTTTACAATCTGTAGTTTATAGGAGAATTATGATGCCACCAGGCTCTCATCTTTGTTGCTTATAAGTAAAAGGGCATGTGCTGACCTGAACCAATTGTACATTGGTTTGAGAATGATGTAGGAAGCAGAAATGTTGAGTATAAAAAGCTTTTTTCATTTGAATCAGATCTGGTTTGTTTAAACATAGTAAGAAAATTGGCAGGCATCAATTAGATTAGATAATAAATTATGAAGTACACTAGTACTTTGCAACATAGAGAAGATGTTGAATTTTCAGTAGTTCTGAAAGCTGTATGTTATCTATCAATCCTTTATTTCTTTGAAAGATAGACAGATATCGATTTAGAGTAATTTTGAGAGCTATAGCTTATCCATCCGTCTTTGATGCCGTTCTGATTATTTACTATTGCCAACTGTTACTCACTTTGCCCCATTAAACGCTAATTAGGACATCGGAATTTTATTTTCTATTATCACCTTCTGTCTCTCTCTCTCTCTCTCTCTCTCTCTCTCTCTCTCTCTCTCCCTCCCTCCCTCCCTTTCTCTCTTTTTTTACCGGGCCAACCCGTAAATATTATCCTTTTCACCTAAGCTGTATGTAATTATTTTGCTTTGTTAATTTACTAATAACAAAAGAGTCACTGATGCATAGTGACCAGCCAAATCATCATCAAGAGGATGAGACTTGGTTTAATTTGCGAAATCTATACAGATGTTCGGTGCATGTTAAATAGAAATTGCTTCTTTGCCTTTTGGGGATTGCTTCACTGCAGAAAAAGCTAAAGTAGTTGATAGTTGAGAATCGGTAGCTGGTGATCTTTGGAAAAAGGAGGTTAAGAATTGATTAAGTTAAGAAAGAGCTTTGCGGGGAAGTTGGAGTTGCTTTTCTTGTGTATAAATAACAAACAAAAAGCAAAATCAGAATCTAAAGCACCTCTCTCCATCAATTTTTGTTATTTATTAAATGAAGTGTATTGGTAAGTGAATTATGCCTTTCTTGTTGTATCGCTTATGTTTATGTTTAACAAATACTCTCATGATGAGCTTGGTTTTGCAGGAACCTGCCTGATGGTTTATCACGTTCATGCCACAAAGTGGTGTTGAAGCGTAGTTATTTTATAGTCATCATAGCCAGAAACTGTCTGGCTGTTTGTTTATTTACTATTAATTTAATAAGATCCTATAAAGCTCAGTCTTAACGAACATGTTATTTCCTGTTCCTGAGATCGACCTGTATTGGGGATAAAGTGTGAATTCAGTTTTTCTGATAATGTAATTGGTAGTGCTTTTTATAGTTCCTTTATCCCCTCTTATGTGAAGTTGTTGAACTGAATGTCTGTTTAATTAGGCATCATGTAGTGTTATTTTATTAACACTTATGTTCGTGGCTGGTTCTGTGTTTGAAGCTTGATTGTATATATATTTTTTTTTTT